TCCACGTTATCCCCGCGGGTCCCGGGGTGACGCCGGTGGAGCTCCGAGAGTCGGCCTCCGTGGCCGAGAGGGTTCAGGAGTGGGAGGCCCAGAGGAGTTCGGCGGACGACGCCAGAGGCGACCCCGGCACTTTGATCGAACTGGCTTGCGGAGAGGAGGAGGGCCTGATCGAGCTCAGGGAAGAGGACGGGGCTGACGAACAGGACCGGATGCTCCTCCAGGAGTTGGCGACCTGGGGTCCGGGTCCCGGGGACGAAGAACACGGTCCGACCTCCTCGTTCGCCACGGCCGGACCGACTCCAGGTGGGTCCCGGCGGGGCCAAGAGGTCGTCTGGAACAAACTCAGTCCAGAAGAACGAGAGGAGTTCAAGAAGGCGGACGCGGCCGAGTGGTCCGCCATGACCGCCACTAAGGCAGTGAGAGTGGTCTCCCCCGCGGAGGCGACCCTGGTCCGTCGGAGGGATCCATCAAGGATTCTCTCGTCGCGCATGGTCCGTCGGTGGAAGCCGCAGGAGGGCACGGGAGCCAGCGAGAAGGCAAAGTCACGCTGGTGCGTGAGGGGGTATGCCGATCCTGACGCGGAGTCTCTGCACGTGTACGCTCCGACTCCTCAGGAGGAGGCGGTGTTGGTTGCTCTCCAGCTGATAGCTGGCAAGAAGTGGAGGCTTCAGATAGCGGACTGTAAGAACGCCTTTTGCCAGGCGGACCCCCTCTCCCGCCCCAACGGGAAGATATATGTCGAGCCATGCGATGGCGTTGACGTCCCCCGGGGGGGCCCTCCTGGAACTTGTGGCCCCAGTCTACGGCCTGAACGATGCTCCGATTCGCTGGCACCAGACCTTGACCAATCACCTCAAGTCCCTGGGGTTTCGGCGCTCCCTTTTGGAGCCGTGTCTTTGGGTTGCCCACCATGCCTCGGGTAGTCTCAGGGCTCTTGTGGTGATTGAGGTCGACGATCTTATTGTTTCTTGCGAACCCTCATATGAGAGTGAGCTCAAGAAGTTGTTGACGGGTCGTTTCCGTTTCGGTAAATGGCAGGTCGGTGAGGCCGAGTACGCAGGGAGAAGGATCCGCCAGCAGTCTGATGGGCGCATTCTCGTCGACCAGGAAAAATATATCCTGGAGCAGGTCCGTCCCATGAGACTCGACAAGGAGCGTGTTAAATGTCCCGAGGAGCTGCTCGATGCAAGAGAGCTCCGAGACTATCGCGGCCTGGTGGCGAAGATTCTCTGGGCGGCCCGCCAGTCTCGTCCCGACGTGTCCGGATCCGCCTCGATGCTGAGCGCCGAATGCCCACAGGTCAAGATAGCCTCGGCTCTCATGGCTAACAAGGTAGCTCGCCACCTCCGGTGTACGGCCAGCTCCTGTCTGACGATTTGGCCCCTGGACCTGAGTGCCGTGACCATGGTCACGTGCAGTGACGCGGGGGGCCCCGGGTCCGCTAAAAGAGACGGTGCTCAAGGAGGCTGGCTCGTGATGCTAGGAGATTCCAGGATCAAGGATAATCGTCGTTCTCGTGTTTCGCTCTTGTCTTGGAGAAGTCAGAGGCTCCGTCGAGTCGTTTCGTCCACGTTATCGGCGGAGACGTTAAGTCTTTCCGGGGCTCTCGCCGAGGGACAGTGGTTGTGGCTCGTTTTCCGGGATGCCCTGTATGGAGACGTGAGGGGGCCTGAATGGTGGAACTCAGGGACGTCCTGCCCCTTTGCAGTCGCGCTCGTCGACGAGTGTGCCATCGCCGAGGCTTCCGAGGGCGTCGCCGTAGTCGATGCGAAGTCCCTCTTCGATACGCTGTCCAAGAACTGCGGGGGTGCTAAGGCTGACCGCCGCAACGCCATCGAGATGGCGATAGTCCGGGACTCGATGACCGCCGAAGGGACAGTGGTGAGGTGGGTTCCACACTGCAAGATGCCAGCTGACGCTCTGACCAAGGTCGACCCAGGACGAGGGAATTTTGCTCTGACTGATCTCATGCACAAGGGGATGCTGGCGCTAACGGACGAGTCTGGGTCGCTCGATGAGCGATCTCTCAACCTGTCGCTGAAGTCCCGGACTCGGAATGCATCGCGACAGGTTCTACAGAGAGAATCCCAGTCCACCGAGGCTGGCGAGAACGCAGAGGAGGCTGAGGAGGAGAGAGGAGAAGGAGGACGCCCCGCCAGGACGCCGAGGAGGTCACCCTCGCGTCCGCCGGGCCTGCCGGGCCCAGTACCCTCCGACCCGGGCCCGGAACCGAGGGGGGGAGAGGGAAAGGGCGTGGTCCGTGGATCTTAGGGGCCTCACCTCCCTGTCTGCTGCTGTGATGGACCTCATGGGACACTAAAGTAGGGGGTGCTGTCTTTTAAATACTCAACCCCCTGTCCCATGAGGTCCCCTAGAGTATTCTCAGAGTTTGATGTGTTTCACGAGTTGTGCGACACTGTGTCCAGTGTCGCTGGGGTGGCGTCCCACAGCATGCGAGCATGACTGTACTGACGCCGATGTGGCTCAAGTGCGCAAAACATCCGGGAGGAGAGGGGCCTCCCGCTTGTCGCCCCGCGCGCCCCCAGGCCTCCAGAGTCCCTCGATCCGCCCGCGAACCCGTTTCACAAAGCTCCCACTTCATAGGTCCCTACAACGGTTCATTTGTATTGAGGGAACTGCCTTGTTGGAAAACAACCGTTTGAAGACCCTGAAGCATGCCAAAACATTGTTCTCGGGATGCCAACGCCACGGATCGACCTGACTTTTGCGTCTTGACGATCCTGAATCGTACCAGAACGCCATTCCTGAAACCTAATACAGCGAACCAGCGTAACTGTTGCACCCGCTTAGTCCTGAATCCTTTCAAAACACGATGTCCGCGGCAATAATGCGAGAGCCTCATGATGAAAAGGAACCGTCCTCAATCCGTGAAACTCTTGTACTTTGTTTAAACGAATGTGTGCCGCGCTCAAGCGAGAACCACATGTTGAAAACGGGCCTTCAACCCGTGAAATTCTTGCAAATGTTTGAGACGAATGCGCGCCGCGCAAAGGCGAGAGCCACATGTTGAAAACCACCCGCCCTCAATCCGCGAAAATCTCGCATCTTAAAAAAAACGAATGTGCGATGCGCTAAGGCGAGAGCCACATTTTGAGAACCACCCACCCTCCTTCTGCGAAGCTCTTGCCACTTGTTACGCTTCATATTCATACATGGTGAGGAAGTCTCAGGCGAACCCCCACGACCGCCCTGAAAACAGGCCTCGGGGTGCGAGAGGGAAAAGTTGAACATGAAGGAGCGAGGAGGAGCGGGGGAAGTGGACGCACGAGTCGTCCCAACTTCGGTGCGGGGTAACTCTGGCTTGGGCCCCTTGAGGCACGCGTCGCGGTGGGGGCAATTTGTCGGGCGCGACCGTCGGTTCTTCGGCCGGAGCGGAGCCAACCGCAGGATCACCGAAATACCACCGCTCCGCCTTCGTGGGCGCCCAAGGGAAAGATGCCGAAGCGGGGGGAAGTCGCAACTCATGGCCCGAGGCATGTGCGCGGTCCAAGGGGGGGTCAGGGGACGCGTTCGACCTGAAGAGGGGGTGAGGAAGCGGGCCCTTGTCAACCTCCATTTAGACCACCCCTCATTGCCACCCGCCCGACCTGAATCGTTGTGTTGACGGTCCTGGGGCCAGGGGAGAGCCCCACGAGCCCGAAGGCGGCGAACCCTCCAGGACCCCTCGCTGTCTTGGAGAGTCGATCCTCGATCCTCGAATCTGGAGCATCTCTGATCCCAAGACCCCCACGGGGGTGCGTTCCGACAATAATTCCCACAGGAATCCCGGAATCCAGCATTGGCGACGGGAAACCCCGTGGAAGCCCCCGTTCGCAACCGTGCCTGCACGCCTCAGAGAGACCCCCAGGAGGCCCCAGAGATGCCCCCAAGAGGCCACCAGGGAGGCTCCTCCACCTCCTCCTCCCTACGCGCGGACGAAGACGAGGTGAGGTCGAGTTCACGACCCGCCGAACTGGAACGCAAGGCGAAGTGGACTCCCGCCGCGCGGACGAGGACGCGGTCGAGTTCACGGTCCGTCCCAATTCAGGCCAGTCGTCGGAATTGTGTTCCTACCTACACGCAGTCTCCTTCCTGCTGCGCGGTTGCACATGAGAGGAACGGTGGCGTGGTTTGCCGCAGGCAGCTGGATAATGAAACAGTCACACGGGAACGACACGACACGCGAAACACGTATCCAGAATCCCTTTCATCAAGGAGCCATTTTCCTCAGTTGAGGTAGGACAGGCCGTCCCAATACTCCTCTATGCCTACAACGGCACGTCCCCAAACAAAATGAGTGCTATAGCGGCGGCACAGCGTTCCTTGGAGCATGGAACCCATGTCTGAAAGCGGCGATGCCCCGGCCAGACTCACACCATATACAACATAGACTACGTCCGCTAAACGTGTACTGGCTGGACTACAGGTAGGCAAATCAAAGCGCTTCGTCACTTGCCACCTATCGGACGTCCATTCTCCGTGCAGTCTTCGGTTCCGTGCGTGCCTTTTTCGCCAGAGGATCTAGGATGCTCCTCGATGGCCCCCGCCGAGAAGATAATGCACACGTCCGAAGGATGCCAAGGTCACCGCTCGACTCCGGGCGAGTAGTCTCTAGAGGAACAGAAAGCAACATAAACATAAACTTTCGCCAGTCCGCGCCCGCGCGGATTTCTTGGATCCGAACTGGACCCCCTCCCTGGCGCGCGGAGCGCGCCAAGGTCGCTGGAGGCACCGCCAGGGGGGCCCATGCGCCGATCAACCGCGCAGAGCGCCGAACGTTTGTGTTTAAGACAATGTTTTAGGTCGAGTATGTCCTCCTACAGGCGGATGTTGGAGTAAAAATAAGAATAGTCAAAACATAACCCGAAACGGTCTAACAAGATATTGGAACAATCGTCCCCTGGTAATTTTGCCACTATTTCTGCATATTCCTCCTGCAGAGGGGCAGGCCCGACTCAACGTTGTTCATTCTTCGAGCCTCAGCGGGCCGCCCGCCCCGCCTGGGCCTCCGCGCCTCCGCGGAGAAGAGGATGAAGCCCGACAGCAGGAAGAACCAGGGGACCCACCTCGCGGCGGCCGCGGCGGGGTGCCGCCGCAGGGTGCTGCCAACCCCGTCTGGCACACGCGGATCTGTGTGTACAGTCGGACCTAAGAACATCCTTCAAAACCATGGGACCCTCCGTCGGCCAATAAACACAGAACATCCAAGGGTACCCTCCCCAGGATGCACAAGCACGTCCAACAGACACCAAGAACATCAGGGTACCCTCGCCGAGCCGACCTCGATCTTATATCTCGGTCCGACATTCTGCGTACGGCAAGTTCGTGTCGTGTCGACCCCGGCTTCGGTTCCTCACACCGCGGGGATTGTTCAGCCTTGAACGATCGGTGGTTTCTTACTAAAAAAAGCCCGATCGGTCAACATCGACACATGTTGGGTCTCCCGCGGCGTTCAACCTTGAATTCCCCCGCTGGGGTCGCCACTGGTTGAAACCAAAGCAAAAAAGGACTGGCCGCAGAGGCAAGGACGCATGGATATCCTAGAGGAAGGCGCGCGCCTTACCAGGCGCGTTGACTGTACTCGCATGACGCGGGGAAGCGTTGGGAGCAGAATGGATCTCCGCCCGCCCCCATGAAGACGCGTAAAAAACAGTCCCAAACCACCAACTTGCAACGACCGATGGGTATGTGTGAATATCCAAATTTGCATCTCTCTATATATACGAGAACCATCGCGCGCGCTTCGCGCGCGCTCAAGTTCTAGCTAGGCTTGATGGGCTAACGCATGGAATATCACCTTTGTCGTTTCTTGCATTCAAGGACTCTCTTGGAGGCCCTGCGCAAGTCCCGGAATCTTTTGAACGGGAGTTGCGGAATCGCAAAACTGATGAATTGCCGGTACGTGTTCAACGATTTGGGGCCCTCGAAGATTTCCATGTTTTTCAACTTGTAGTGCCTGGGCTGTGGGTTAAACGATTTCTGCATGCAGGCCACGGTCTGTTAGGATGCCTCTCGGGGTCTTCGTCCAAAAATAAGCAGGAGGTGAGTCTTAAAAATTAGCCTGGCGAAAGACCCAACCATATGCAGGTGTGAGTACCGCAATTGTGATACACTTTTTCGGTGGGGGAACCGCATACGGACTGCGCCACGGGGACCTTCGGTCGGTGGAGCTCCCTATGGGGCCACGAAGCGCTGTACTGGGTGAGGGAGACGCATGGGGACTGCGCCACGGGGACCTTCGGTGGGGCTCCATACGTGGCCACGAAACGTTGTACTGGGTGAGGGAGACGCATGCGGACTGCGCCACGGGACCTTCGGTGGAGCTCCTATGGGGCCACGAAACATATGAGGGGTGTGACGACATGAATGGCGGGGACGCATGCGGACTGCGCCACGGCGACCTTCGGCGGAGCTCCTATGGGGCCACGAAACGTGTGAGGGGTGTGCCGAAATAAGCGGCGGGGACGCATGCGGACTGTGCCACAGGGACCTTCGGCGGAGCTCCCATGGGGCCACGAAACGTGTGAGGGGTGTGCCGAAATGAATGGCGGGGACGCATGCGGACTGTGCCACTGGGACCTCCAGCGGAGCTCCTATGGGGCCACGAAGCGTGTGAGGGGTGTGCCGAAATGAAAAGCGGGGACGCATGCGGACTGTGCCACTGGGACCTTCGGCGGAGCTCCTATGGGGCCACGAAGCGTGTGAAGGGTGTGCCGAAATGAGTGGCGGGGACGCATGCGGACTGTGCCACTGGGACCTTCGGCGGAGCTCCTGTGGGGCCACGAAACGTGTGAGGGATGTGCCGAAATGAATGGCGGGGACGCATGCGGACTGCCCCACGGGCACCTTCTGCGCAGCCCCATATGGGGCCACGAAACGTGTGAGGGATGTGCTGGAATGAGTGGCGGGGACGCATGCGGACTGTGCCACTGGGGCCTTCGGCGGAGCTCCTATGGGGCCAAGAAACGTGTGAGGGGCGTGCCAAAATGAGTGGCGGGGACGCATGCGGACTGTGCCAGTGGGACCTTCGGCGGAGCTCCTATGGGGCCTCGAAACGTGTGAGGGGTGGGCCGAAATGAATGGGACCCATGCGGACTGTGCCACTGGGACCTTCGGCGGAGCTCCTATGGGGCCACGAAGCGTGTGAGGGGTGGGCCGGAATGAGTGGCGGGGACGCATGCGGACTGTGCCACTGGGACCTTCGGCGGAGCCCCCATGGGGCCACGAGAAGTTTGAGGGGTGTGCCGACATGAGTGGCGGGGACGCATGCGGACTGTGCCACTGGGACCTTCGACGGAGCCCACATGGGGCCACGAAGCGCTGCACTGGGTGGGGGAGACGCATGCGGACTGCGCCACGGGTGCCTTCGGTGGGGCTCCATATGGGGCCACAAAACGCTGTACTGGGTGAGGGAGACGCATGCGGACTGCGCCACGGGGACCTGCGGCGGAGCCTCTATGGGGCGACGAAACGCTGTACTGGGTGGGGGAGACGCATGCGGACTGCGCCACATGGACCTTCGGGGGCTCCATATGGGGCCACCAAACGCTGTATTGGGCGGGGGAGACGCATGCGGACTGCGCCACGGGGACCCTTGGTGGCGCTCCATATGGGGCCACAAAACGTTGTACTGGGTGGGGCAGACGCATGCGGACTACGCCACGGGGACCTTCGGTGAGGCTCCCTATGAGACCGCGAAGCGCTGTACTGGGTGACGAAACGCTGTACTGGGGGAGACGCATGCGGACTGCGCCACGGGGACCTTCGGCGGAGCCCCTATGGGGCGACGAAACGCTGTACTGGGTGGGGGAGACGCATGCGGACTGCGCCACGGGGACCTTTGGTGGCGCTCCCTATGGGGCCACGAAACGCTGTACAGGGTGAGGGAGACGCATGCGGACTGCGCCACGGGGACCTTCGGTGGAGCCTCTATGGGGCCACGAAGCGCTGCACTGGGTGGGGGAGACGCATGCGGACTGCGCCACGGGTGCCTTCGGTGGGGCTCCATATGGGGCCACAAAACGCTGTACTGGGTGAGGGAGACGCATGCGGACTGCGCCACGGGGACCTTCGGCGGAGCCCCTTATGGGGCCGCGAAACGCTGTACTGGGTGGGGGAGACGCATGCGGACTGCGCCACTGGGACCTTCGGCGGAGCTCCTATGGGGCCACGAAGCGTGTGAGGGGTGTGCCGAAATGATGATGATGATGATGATGATGATGATGATGATGATGATGATGATGATGATGATGATGATGATGATGATGATGGTGATGGTGATGATGAGGATGATGATGACGACGACGACGCTGATGACGATGACGATGATGATGATGAGGAGGAGGAGGAGGAGGAGGAGGAGGAGGAGGAGGAGAGGAAGAGGGAGGAGGAGGAGGATGAGGAAACGCGGGGAGCGTCTCTTGAAAACGAGGACCCAACAACACAGGTTGGTTGGGAAAATGGAATTCTAAAAATCCACTGCTTCAACTCATGGGATCATGGGATCTCTACAATGGTTTCAGGGGCAGCCAAGAGGAGATGAAGCCGATCCAAGAGAGTGTCAAGACAGCGTCAGAGAGTTCAACAGCATTCCCGAAGCATTTTGGCATGTGACCCCGAAGTCTTGATGGGGTTCAGGAAGAGGATAGGGAGTAGGAGTCCCAACTTGGAACAAAGGAATCTATGGAGTTCAATATGTTTCCCCAAATTCTTCGGTCTTGGAGCGTTGGAAGCGGCAAAACGTGAGAAGGCGAAAAGCGTCGACAAAAACCATTGGAAAGCAACGATGTTACCCTCTTCGAGCTCTCTCGGGACCGCTCTCGAAGCTCTCTTGGGCTGTTTTGGAGGCCTCGTCGGGGATTTTTTGGGAGCCTCGGGGTCTGGGGTGTGCTGGGGGCCTCTGGGGGGTCCCGGAGTCCTCTCGGAGGTCTCTGGAGGCCTCCTGCTCCCGCTCGTGGGTTCATCTTCGGCCTGTTCTGGGGTGGTCTGGAGCTGTCCAGAGCGCCTCTTCGGCAGTCTTGGGGCCGTCTTGGCTCGTCTTGGGGCCGTCTTGGGGGCCCCTTGGGCGGTCTCGGGGTGGTCTTGGGGGCGTCGTCGGCCGTCTTGGAGCGTTGGAAGCATGAGATGGTGAGAAGGCCAAAAACCATTTAAAACAAAAAAATGGAAATGTACGATTTCAGGTTCTCCGGGCGCTCTCGGGAGGCCGGTTCAGGATTTCTTAGGACCCTTCGAGGCCCTCTTGAACCGCGAGGTCGGGGGAACGGCCCAGTCGGAGGCGTCCACGAGGGGGCGCCGGGGGGGGGTTCGCAGATCATGGCCAGAGGCATGTGCGCGGACGAGGAGGGGACCAGGTGACGTATTGGAATTCGCCGGCCCAACGGGCCAGAGGCGTGCTAAGATCTCCGGCTACTGCTGAACAGTATTCTAGTTCGCGCGCGCGGGGCGGCTCCTTGGGGCCCCCGGACGAAAAGTACCCAGGGCGGTCCGACCCAGAGATGCTTTTTCCGTCTGGGCGCGGCTTTCAGGCGCCCCAGAGCGCTCCTAGAGGGCCCCAAGACAACCCAAGGGGGCTCCGAGACGCCGACCGATCGATCCAAGACGCGCAAAATAGCCTCCAGACGGCCGCAGACGCCCCCAAGACGCCTAAAGGGGCCTCGAAGAAGCGTCTCAAGAGGGCCCCAGGAGGCACCACACCTTCGATTTCCCTTTGGTTTTTGAAGGATATTGGCGTTCTCATCTTTTCGGCTTCCCTACGCTCAAAGGCGGCCAAAGAGGCCGCAAATATCGCCCCAAGACGGCCCAAGAGGCCTCCAAGAGAACCCAAAGAGGGCAGACAGTCCAAGAGGACCCCAGAACCCAGAACGGCCCCTCGCCCAAGAGGGCCCCAAGAGGCTTCAAGAGGCTACGAACACGAACCGCCAATGCGAGCCTTCCGCCCCAAGAGTCCCTCAGGAGGCCCTAAGAGGCCCCCACGAGAGATCAGGAGGCCCCCGGGAGGCCCCACGAGTTCCCCTTGAGAGGCCCGAGAAGAGGCGCCAGGATGCCCCCCAAGCGGCCCCCACGAGGCTCCAATGAGGCCACGAACGCGCAGGCGACCGGCGGGATGCGCGAAGCGCTGAAATAAGAAGATGGGGCCATGACATCCGGGGAGATGTCATG